CACTAAGGTGGGCCCTGGCCCATTTATCTACTTGGATGCCTGGGTTGGGAGCAGGACCCAAGCACTACTGCTCGGGATCATCAGAGGATACTGGACTGGCGGCTGAGGTCATCGGATCGTCGAGATAGTTGTCTTCTTGCTATGACAACTCTATCTCGACCAGGCTTGTAGAAGAGGCAACAATGACCTTACGTTCATGTCATCCGATGCATATACGAAACATTACTTTTTGCCTGCCACGAAACGTTGCTCTCCGCCTGCCGGCAAGCCACAGACGGCAGAAGGGCTTATATCACTTCTGGCAGAGTTGAGGAGAAGGAGCCACCTGTCCAACAGTTTGCTTGGGCTCCAATACTCCTGCGGCCTATATAACATATCGTATATGCAGCGAGAAACAACAACAACAATACAACTAAGTCTTATGCTAAAACACTCTCTCATACTTTACATTAGTGTTCAAAGGTCTATCACTGCCAACCTCTCCCTCTCCAAGCTTGCCTTGACCTCCTCCTCTCCACCTCCGGTGATCCCAAGCCATTGAAGTGCCCGCCATCTTCCCGGACTACCTCTAACCACACCGTTCACCCACAACTAGATAATAAATTTTGTTGATTTTTAATATTTAAGAAGCATGGCGATCTAAAATAACTAGATGTGAGCATCAAAAAGCAGCATGACCTGATGTTTGAACTTTATACTAGATTGAACAATTCTATGAAATGAAAAATTGCAAGAACCATGGGGTCATTTATGTTCCTCTCCCAAGACAAATGAGCTTACCTTATTACTAGTCGAGGACAGAAGCCTTGAGAAGTGCTTTTTGCCCCCACTTACTATATTTAAATAATAGTTGGCTTTTATTTTGATTTTATGACTTTAAAATATCTGACCATACATTGAAGATTTTCATTTTGGATTACTTGATTCTATGCATATGTCATATCTATATGGTAATCCAAACATTTTATACTAGTAATAGTCGAAGTGGTTCTTCTTTTTCTGTTGATGTAGGAGATGAAGAGTTAGTGTGATGAGAAAATGTCCGACTTTATCTTTTTTAAGACTAGAACAATCTCTACAAAAGGTAAGTTTATTCATATGCTTTTAGCGATTTTTGAATTAATTTGTGTTTTAATTTTTCAGGTCATAAATTGCATGGAGAGATGCAAAGTATTGTCAAAGAATTCAAGAACTTTGTCCTTCAAGTTTTTTTTTTAATGTGTAATAATCACAATTAAAAACTTTTTATTAATTCATTTGTATATACTTTTGAACATTTAACTTTCATTTATGAAATATATGATGTTATTCTATTCAATATGTGATTGTGATTCAAAGGATAATATATAGTGTATATTACATTCTTCAAATGAGTGCACAAAAATAATATTGATTATTCTTTATATATGTTGACTCATTTTTTTATCACACGCATTGATTGTAATGAGAAATGCATATAAAGTGTGATTTTATTTCATTATTAATCACAGTTTTTATTTGATATTAATCACTTAAAATTTGTAATCTAAATGTTTATTATTACATGTTTTATTAGTTATTAATTAAACTTAAAAGATGTGATTTAAATATTTATTATCACATGCAAAATGTACGATAGAATTATCTTTTAATGACACTTAAAATGTGATTAAAAATGACTATTTTTAATCACACTCTTAAAAATCACAATTTGACAAAACTTAAAACGTGTGATTAGATAACATACATTACACATAAAAAGTGTGATCTATTTATGATTTTGTAGCAGTGTGAATTTAATAATCTAATTAAAAAAATAGTGCACGCACACAAAAATGTAACACTGAACATCTACGTTATGATCAACTATTTAATTATGAATAATTAACTTCTCATTATTAGCTGTATTATATTGTTACAAAAGATTCTACATATTAATTTTGTAATATCTTATATATATATATATACATCAATGTCTACACATAAACTATTTGTATAAAAATAAATCATCAATTTAATATATATATATATATATAAATAGGGACTATTTGTGCAAAATCATCAATTTAATAAAATATAAACTAATTTGACAAAAATAAATGTCAAAAAATATTTTTAATTTTTTTAAAATTATTATTATCCACCAATGATAAAATTATGTAAAATTGAAAAAAATTGCATGATTAATTTTTTAAAATTAATTTAACATGATCATAATCCAAACACATAATAAAAATTAATTTGGTAAAAAAAATAATAAATGTCTAAAAGATTTATCAATTTTACATAATTTTATTTTTAGTGGGTAGAAATAATTTTTAAAAATTTAAAAATATTTGTTTGACATATATTTTTGTCAAATTAGTTTATATTTTATCAAATTGACGATTTTACCCTTGAAAAATCTAATGATATCTTTAATTGTTCTTATTTGGAATAAGATTCAAAATTCAGGATTAAATGTGTCATAATTGAAAAGTCAGGGACCAAAGTGACACAAACCTTGAACTATAAGAACTATTAGTGTAATTCATCCATATATAAATATAAATTTATATATGTTACTGTATTGATACATTATCAATCTGTAATGCTATATTACCATCGAATACTTTAATTTTATAACATGTATCGTTTCAGTAATGTAATTATATTTGTTAGAAAAAAATTGTAGAATTGTATATTGTTCTCCTATCAACTTATGTTCACTACATATATACATAAATGTCATACAAACAAGTGTTCGCAACAAACACTTTATTAATAAATCAAAACTCTGCAAAACGCTTTCATCATGACAATAATTATACTTTTTTTTCCCATCTCATACTAGAAAAAATCATATTATCAAGAAAAAATAGATTTTGAAATTCATAACAATATAATATCGCATCAAACTCTTACTCATCAAAATATTTTTATTACAATGAGTTATAATAATGAACAAGATGAAAAATAAGAAGATGGTAAAACAAAAACTACAGAAGATTATTGCAACATATTCTCTAAGCAAAGTTAGACGAGTTAAAGCAAAAATTGTCTTATCTGCTGTGAAGTTCAAGAAAAATAATGTACCTCATACGCACATTATAGTCAAATTATAAAGAAAAAATCAAATGATGCTCAAACATTATCATAGCAACTCACTGATGCTGAAAGTACATCAAATATAAAGTTTCAATTAATTTTTGTCATATGCTAATTATTTACAGATGACATAATAAATTATGTAATTTCATATTTTCAAGAAAAAAGACCCTGCAAACACTTACAAGTATAAATCTACAAACATCATGAAAATTATCATGAAATTTCTATATCGATCGAAATATTAAGTTATAATATCATTTCATTTTTAAAAAATAATTATTATACATTTTCTACATAAATGAAAATATACTGATAACTAATATTATATTTTTCATTATGCAAGATATTTATGGCACAAAAAACGAGATTCAACAACTCTTAATATATAAAAATGTATTACATAGGGTTTGGCTTGTGTCTAGTCCGAGATCGGACTGGACGGTGCTGTTGGGCCCGTGGAGGCTCACCACGGGTCCTGTTTTGATAATCTAAACCGTGCAATGTGTAGAACTCGTTGAGTAATATATGTCTGTAAAAAATCACGTTGATCGGATATCGATAGCTACGTAATCAAAACAGTTTTTTATCAACCATTAATTTGTTCACCGTCCATTTTTTTTTTATACAAAACTGATTTGATCATATACCTATCAATATTCGATCAACGTAATTTTTTATAGGCATACAGCATTCGACGAGTTCCACACATTGAACAGTTCGGATTATCAAAACGGGACCCATGGTCGGCCCCATGGGCCCAACAGCACCGTTCAGTCCGATCTCGAACCGGACACAAGCCAAACCCTATTACATATTGATATTAATATATTCTTACGCCAATAGTATGTAAATAATATGCAATAGTGGGTTCAATAAATTTGTATTATGAGATTAACTATTAAATAAAATTGTGTAATTGTGTAATGAATTTCATACATTCAATTGTATTACAGGTACGAATTATGAAAAATTGAACCACGGGAAAGAATCCAATAGGGGAAGTAAGATAAAAAATGGGAAATTAAGAAAAAATTTGGATTAATTGGCTAAATTATAAAATGGGTAAATTACACTGATGTCTCTTTAAGTTCAGAGAAAATACAGTAAGTTTTATAGTTTTGGTATAATTACATTAAATTTCTTTGAGATTTTAATTCATATAACATTTAACCTCATTCATTAATAATTTGTTAGTTATATGAATAAAAAAATAATATTGACATCCCTTTTACACGAAAATGTATAGAACACTGTTTATTTTTGTGTTTTTGCACTATGTGTATTAATCCGTTCAATATTGTTTTGTTTTTTCAAACCTCGGGGAGATCAGTGTAATTTACCCTTATGAAATTGATTAGAATTTTGCTAATCTCTCTAAAATGAGGAATTAAGAAGAATTTGGACTAATCGACTAATTTACAAAATCGATAGAATTTGAAACAAAAATAAAAAACACCAATTTTCTTGTTGAAACAAAAAAACCATAATTTCCATTAAAGCATGTTGAAAAACAAGTATAATGAGCAGCATGTATGTGATTCATTGATTCACAGGTGAATAAAGCAGTGACAGACAAGAAGCAAATAGTATTTGCAGGCCATTCCTCAGGTGCTGCAACAGCCATTCTAGCAACCCTCTGGTTCTTGGACCATAACCTTCATGTTCAACCAAACAAAACTCAAATCATCACTCCCCTCTGCATTACTTTCGGTTCCCCATTACTCGGGGATCGGATCTTCCCCCACTCCCTTCGCCGCGAAAACTGGGACAACTTTTTCATACACTTCATCACCAAACACGACATCGTCCCTCGCATAACTCTCTCTCCCCCCTCCTCCATCCAACAAGATTTCCAAAAATTTCTCAACATTCTCAAAACAAAATCTCCAATCACCACACACGAAAACGTTTCCAACTTTTTCGTTACTGTAATGAAGAATGTACAATCTGTTACAAGCCATGCAGCTTGTAATATGATGGGGTCCACAAATCCGCTCCTCCAAACTATTACTAGTTTTGTACAACTCAGCCCTTATAGGCCTTTTGGAACCTATATTTTGTGTTCGGGGAATGGAAAGCTTGTTGTGGTGGAGAATTCTGATGCAGTGCTGCAACTACTGTTTTATAGTTGTCAGTTGAAGAGTGGACAGGAAATCGAAGAGGTTGGTTATGAGAGTTTGAAAGAACATTCTGGATATGAAAATGAATTGGAAGGGAGTTTAGAAATGCAAAATGTGGTTTATTTGGATAATTACTTGAAAGAGGTTCCTCTGTCTTCGGATGCCAGTGTGGTTGGTGAGGCAGCCACTGTTAATGCAGCCTTGAATGATCTCGGCCTGGTGAGTTTCAACCCCTGCCCCTGCCCCTTCTTCTTCTTGTTTTTTTTTTGGCCAAGGGTTAATTGTACAATTTAGTTTTCAATCTTTTAATTATTTCATTTTGGTCACTAAAATATATACACTTTTGTTCCTAGCATCAGTATCATTTAAAATCAATAATAGGAGGCAGGGTATCTATAAAGTATTCGTTTTGTTACAATTTAGTTTTGAATCTTTTAATTGTTCCATTTTGATCTCTAAAGAGTACAATTTGTTATTCTTTAGTCCCTAGTATCAGTATCGGTTAAAATCAATAACAGAAGAGAGGGTAATTATTTTCATAATTTTACAAAAACAAAGTTAAACAAAATTATAAGATTAGAGACTATAAATGTATGAAAATACTTACGTCGGATACTAAAATGAAACAAAACTTAAAATGCATGTTTTTTTAGGCCATGTGTGTCTTTGGCCATTTTGATTTTGTTGAAGCCTTCTTGTTAAATTTCAAAAATACCACACTTCAGTTACTGATTTTGAATGATGTGGACGTTAGGGACTAAACTGTAAAAAATTGCATATTTTGAGGACTAAAGTGGAACAATTGATAATTTGAGTACTGAAGTGTCACAAAACCTATATTTGAAAATTTGGTTTGTTTGTATATTTAATTGTGTGTGTGTGTGTGTTTTTTATTTTTAAAAATCAATGTTCTTAATTTTGTGTTTGTGTGTTTATAATTTATTGTGGCAGATTAGTGGTGTAAAATTAACATAGAGTTAGGAGTAGCGGCTCCAAGTTGAGTGAATCAGTCTATATTTGACAACACATTATTCAAATTTGGTCATTTTGATTTCTATAGTCCTTTGATATGCTCCTTGGTAAAAATAAAATGCAATCTAATAACGTGTGGGCAAAATGATTGATTACCAAATTATAAACCAATAATTCACAATCAATATGGAATGTCAAATCCGATATATGGACGCACCTCAAAAGGGCGTGGTGCACAGCCACTTACAAAACATATATAAGATTCAAAAGAAATGACATAGCTAGAATAAGTCTTCAGTTACAAGTGGTATTCTATTATATGCTGAAAAGTCCAAAAAAACAATTTCGAAGTCTCCTCAAGCTCTTCTACCTGAAATGGTTAAACAACGGGGTAAGAACACACTCAGTAAAAAGTTTAATCACACACACCTATCAATTTCACACCTAAACTTTTTCCGTTTATTTATTTATTTGTTTGTTTGTTTTTCCGTACTCTTCTATTTTAGATTGTGTTCAAATTGTTTTAGCATTGTCTTAAAATTCATAATTTTTGGTCAATAATTCTTCAACATAGTCTGTAACAAACCAAATATTCAAAAACTGAATTTATACACAAAAATAAACAAAAACTTAAAAAAAGTTGAACAACAAAAAAGCCCCAAACTTTTTAAGTCTAAAAAATTGCACACATTTTTTTGCTTCGCATAAACAAACCAAATTTTTTTAAAAAAAATGAATTTATACATAAAAACAAACAAAAGCTTAAAAAACTGAAACATAAAAAATCCCAAACTATATGTTTACCAATTTTTAGAAAAAAAAAAAAAAATTGAATATAAATATACAGAAGTACACGAAATAGAAAAGTATGTTTGCTTCACACCATGGCCAAGTTAGCTCCTAGATGGGAACCTGATGGCCTTATCCAGTTCAAAGGGTATAGGAATCATGTCTACTTCACACCATGAATGAAAATCTTTTTTGATCAGCAAATGAAGAGAAATGATAATCTTGACAAGGTTGTGACCTTGTTAACCACAGTTCATTCAGAGAAAACAAATCTGCAGTATTATTGAACAAGATTGAAACCTGTCCTCTATTTTTGGCCTTTTAGGTTGTTCCATACTTAAGGGTTGTGTTAAATTATTTGCTTAGCCTATGATTTTATGTAGTATGTATTTTTAGAAACTCCTTTTAAAAAAAGACTACCTAATCCCCCAATTAAAAATGCGCATGGCATCGGCCATTGGTTGATCTTGTCGACAAAGATTGATGGAGATGATGCATGCATAGATAGTTGTTTAACAAACGCCCACTATTTTATAATCACCAAAATAAAACTAGGAAATTTTTTTCCCCCCAAAATAACTTCAAAGATAGTGTAAAAAATAATAATAATCACCTGTGAAGATATATATGATGACTGAAAGAGAAATCATTGATGACAGTTGAACAAATCATAGTAATACTTACAGTTACATCCTTCTCCTTCTCTTTTGTTGTCAGATCAAAACTAACAACTTCTTTAACAAAGTTCATGCATTGATGTACAGTTGATCATGATTCTCTCCATCAACTTTCTCTTCAATAACATTATGAATTTGATTGCCATGGGAAAGATGGGCTTCAATGGTGTCGGTGTGATTAGGAATAAACCTTAAAACAACAACGATGAGTGCAAATACTATGGGAAGGAATAAAAATTTGATGGGGTCATTTTTTTCGTAAAACTGTAGAAAAATAAACTGGACTAAAGAGGTTATTGTCTGAACTAGGGCAAAAGCAATATTAACCCATAGAAATTTGCAATTAATCCATCTTCTGGAACTTCGTGCTTTATGTATCATCTCAAGCAGTGCCAGGACTAGTCCTAGGAGTGAAAATACAGTGGCAAGAAGAGCCATGACATAGAGTCTTCGATCATTTGTTGCCTTTGGTTGTTGTTCTTTTGCACTAGAGATTTGCTCCATGATTGCCGAAGCAACCTCCATTCCAAGTGCTAAAATGGCAACCACTCGATCAATTGTAAAGATTTCCTTCATCTGTTAAGTACATGAATAAGACTAGCTCTTTATATTAATCATTTAAAAAAAAACAAAAAAAACACTATCAATAATATTGAAGAAATAAAATGTCACCTACTTTGGTCCAAGTATTCTTTGAGAACAGCATAATGATACTCAACAGTGCCTTGGCCCAGCCCTTGACGTTATTCCATTTGTTTCTCAGAAACATTGCCATGATGTTGCAACAATTTCCAAACCACTGCTTCATCTTCATGCATTCTATCTTTACTGTGTGCGCACAAGCTTTCCTACAGTTCATCAAACTCTGCACACAGGAGGACCTAGGCGTAATACAGTTTGAAGCTTCAATGTCGCTGCCCATGGCGAAATGAGAGAAGAGAAGAGAGGGAAGAGTAGAGACAATATGGGATTGGAAGTTTGGGAGCTCCTGTTTGGTGTGTGTAAAAGAAGAAAGAGCAGAGAGACTATATAGGATTGGAGGTTTAGGGGTACACCAGATGTGCAGCTGAGATTCTTGAAGACAACAACAACAACACTGAAGCTTCATGGTATATTATGTCCAGACGAGATTCGTGAAGTCAACAACCACAACACTGATGCTTCATGGTATGATATGCAAACCGGTCTTTCTGGTGGTGGGCCGCGCATAAGCTCATTAATTAGAATTATTAATATTTTTTATTTATTTATTTTAGGAGTTTATGTCTAGATGTTTGATGCAATTTTGAATAAATTATACTTTACCTTTTTTATATTTGATCAAATTTTTTTTTTTCACTTTGATCTTTAAAATTTATTTTTTTTCTCCTTTGCCCTTCATGTTTTAAGCTCAAATTAAAATAAATGATAAATTACAAATACACTTCTTGAGATTTGATTAAAATACGAATTGTCTTTTGTGATTCTAGAAATTATATTTCATCCCTTGAGGTTTTTAATTTCATAACAAATCGCCCCTTTTATTAATAAATCATAATGTCAATTAACAGTTTTTAATAATATTAGAAATATGTTTCAATTAATAATTTAACTAATTTTATTATTATTGGGGTGTTTGGCAAAAGCTTTTTTTTTTGCTTTTTGGGATAAAATTTACAAAATGACAAAATAGATTAAAATAGTCAATAAGGCAAAATGTCACATCAAATTCGTAATCATTTCACTTTTTTCCTCACAAATATCACATCCAACTAAAAAAAAAAATCCAACTATCTTTCCAAACACAAAAAATTTAGCCTACTAAAATAGCCAAAAATTAAAATAATCTACTAAAATAGCAACTTTCCAAACACCTACTATATATGAGAGTAATTATAAATTTCATTTTTTTAACTAATTTTGTTAAATAAAAAATTTATAATTTTTCAAATCACAAAAGATAATTTATACTTTAACCAAATCTAAAAAATTATTTATAATTTACCCCTCGATAAATTATACTATTTCTAAAATATTAGTCCCTTAATTCATTTTTTATTGTCCAAAAATATTAGTCTATTTTAAAAAATCAAGTACAAAAGTAATATAAATTTTCTATTTTGCCATTCTTTTAAATTCATTAACAACATAAGAAGTACAATTATGATATTGATATTTTTCAAAAAATGTATTATCAAAGGGTAATTTTGAAAAATCATTTGTTTTAAAGTATAATAATTGCACTGAATAATGCTATATGTATTAATTAATGTACACACTAGTGTACTAATAGATAGTGTGGTATCATTTGTATGGTTTTAAATATTTATAATTTGTATAATAAATGTGATCAATAATAATATCACAACACTAGTTGGTACACTAATGTGCACATTAATTGGTACATATAGTATCATCGTAATTGTGCTACCAAAAAAAATTAAATTCCCCAAAAAAAAACCATCATTTTGGGACGGGGGCGTAAAATCGGCCCAGCATGACTTTCGAGAAACATCAAATAAATGTTTAGAGTAGTTATTGATGGGGTGTTTGTTTTGAGAGATAGAGAGGAGACTCCTAATCCCTTGGTATTAGATATGCCTTGGAAGGGAGATTGGAATGGAGGGGGTGGAGGTGGTATTAAAAAAGTAGTCCGTCGGATTAGAATTTTTTTATTTTTTACATATTGGGCATTTTTTTTTTAACATTCATGTTTAATTTTTTTTTTGTATTTTTTGGAATTTTTTTAATTTTTTTTTTAATTTTTTACATGTTAGGCATTTTTTTTAACATTAATGTTTAATTTTTTTGTTGTTTAATGTTTTGTATTTTTTTTATTTGTTTTAATATTTTATATAAAAATAATTTAACAATTCTTACACTAACAACTATCATCAAAACAAAAATAATTTTACTTAATCCCCTCACTATCAATCCCCTCATTATCAATCCTCTTCATTCTACTTCTGAAAACAAACGGGGCTGTCTTGGGTATGTACTGTACTATTTTGTGTGCTTCTGTATATTTATATTCATTTTTTTTTCCTAAAAATTGTGAAGCATAAAATGTGTGCAATTGTTTAGACTTAAACAGTTTGGGGTTTTTTCGTTCACTTTTTTAAGTTTTTGTTTGTTTTTGTGTATAAATTCTTTTTTTTTTTTAATTTGGTTTGATTTGATTTGATTTTTTAATAGCTTGATTTGATTTTAGGTTTTTAAACTATTAAATTGATAAGATTGGGTTGATTATTGAATTAGGTATTTTAGGTTTTTAAACTATTAAATTGATAAGATTGGGTTGATTATTGAATTAGGTATTTTAGGTTTTTAAACTATTAAATTGATAAGATTGGGTTGATTATTGAATTAGGTATTTTAGGTTTTTAAACTATTAAATTGATAAGATTGGGTTGATTATTGAATTAGGTATTTTAGGTTTTTAAACTATTAAATTGATAAGATTGGGTTGATTATTGAATTAGGTATTTTAGGTTTTTAAACTATTAAATTGATAAGATTGGGTTGATTATTGAATTAGGTATTTTAGGTTTTTAAACTATTAAATTGATAAGATTGGGTTGATTATTGAATTAGGTATTTTAGGTTTTTAAACTATTAAATTGATAAGATTGGGTTGATTATTGAATTAGGTATTTTAGGTTTTTAAACTATTAAATTGATAAGATTGGGTTGATTATTGAATTAGGTATTTTAGGTTTTTAAACTATTAAATTGATAAGATTGGGTTGATTATTGAATTAGGTATTTTAGGTTTTTAAACTATTAAATTGATAAGATTGGGTTGATTATTGAATTAGGTATTTTAGGTTTTTAAACTATTAAATTGATAAGATTGGGTTGATTATTGAATTAGGTATTTTAGGTTTTTAAACTATTAAATTGATAAGATTGGGTTGATTATTGAATTAGGTATTTTAGGTTTTTAAACTATTAAATTGATAAGATTGGGTTGATTATTGAATTAGGTATTTTAGGTTTTTAAACTATTAAATTGATAAGATTGGGTTGATTATTGAATTAGGTATTTTAGGTTTTTAAACTATTAAATTGATAAGATTGGGTTGATTATTGAATTAGGTATTTTAGGTTTTTAAACTATTAAATTGATAAGATTGGGTTGATTATTGAATTAGGTATTTTAGGTTTTTAAACTATTAAATTGATAAGATTGGGTTGATTATTGAATTAGGTATTTTAGGTTTTTAAACTATTAAATTGATAAGATTGGGTTGATTATTGAATTAGGTATTTTAGGTTTTTAAACTATTAAATTGATAAGATTGGGTTGATTATTGAATTAGGTATTTTAGGTTTTTAAACTATTAAATTGATAAGATTGGGTTGATTATTGAATTAGGTATTTTAGGTTTTTAAACTATTAAATTGATAAGATTGGGTTGATTATTGAATTAGGTATTTTAGGTTTTTAAACTATTAAATTGATAAGATTGGGTTGATTATTGAATTAGGTATTTTAGGTTTTTAAACTATTAAATTGATAAGATTGGGTTGATTATTGAATTAGGTATTTTAGGTTTTTAAACTATTAAATTGATAAGATTGGGTTGATTATTGAATTAGGTATTTTAGGTTTTTAAACTATTAAATTGATAAGATTGGGTTGATTATTGAATTAGGTATTTTAGGTTTTTAAACTATTAAATTGATAAGATTGGGTTGATTATTGAATTAGGTATTTTAGGTTTTTAAACTATTAAATTGATAAGATTGGGTTGATTATTGAATTAGGTATTTTAGGTTTTTAAACTATTAAATTGATAAGATTGGGTTGATTATTGAATTAGGTATTTTAGGTTTTTAAACTATTAAATTGATAAGATTGGGTTGATTATTGAATTAGGTATTTTAGGTTTTTAAACTATTAAATTGATAAGATTGGGTTGATTATTGAATTAGGTATTTTAGGTTTTTAAACTATTAAATTGATAAGATTGGGTTGATTATTGAATTAGGTATTTTAGGTTTTTAAACTATTAAATTGATAAGATTGGGTTGATTATTGAATTAGGTATTTTAGGTTTTTAAACTATTAAATTGATAAGATTGGGTTGATTATTGAATTAGGTATTTTAGGTTTTTAAACTATTAAATTGATAAGATTGGGTTGATTATTGAATTAGGTATTTTAGGTTTTTAAACTATTAAATTGATAAGATTGGGTTGATTATTGAATTAGGTATTTTAGGTTTTTAAACTATTAAATTGATAAGATTGGGTTGATTATTGAATTAGGTATTTTAGGTTTTTAAACTATTAAATTGATAAGATTGGGTTGATTATTGAATTAGGTATTTTAGGTTTTTAAACTATTAAATTGATAAGATTGGGTTGATTATTGAATTAGGTATTTTAGGTTTTTAAACTATTAAATTGATAAGATTGGGTTGATTATTGAATTAGGTATTTTAGGTTTTTAAACTATTAAATTGATAAGATTGGGTTGATTATTGAATTAGGTATTTTAGGTTTTTAAACTATTAAATTGATAAGATTGGGTTGATTATTGAATTAGGTATTTTAGGTTTTTAAACTATTAAATTGATAAGATTGGGTTGATTATTGAATTAGGTATTTTAGGTTTTTAAACTATTAAATTGATAAGATTGGGTTGATTATTGAATTAGGTATTTTAGGTTTTTAAACTATTAAATTGATAAGATTGGGTTGATTATTGAATTAGGTATTTTAGGTTTTTAAACTATTAAATTGATAAGATTGGGTTGATTATTGAATTAGGTATTTTAGGTTTTTAAACTATTAAATTGATAAGATTGGGTTGATTATTGAATTAGGTATTTTAGGTTTTTAAACTATTAAATTGATAAGATTGGGTTGATTATTGAATTAGGTATTTTAGGTTTTTAAACTATTAAATTGATAAGATTGGGTTGCCTACTCCTCTCTATGGGTTTTGTCTTTAAATTTTGGTATTTTGAGATGTTGGGCTTGGTTTGGTAATTTTGTGAAAGTTTGGGGCTTTTGTGTAATTTTACAAAGGTTGGGGTTTCATTCATAATAAACCTAGATGCGTGGTTGGCATGAAAAAAATGGAATGATTGTTGAGTCATTGATGAAAATGGGACCTAAGGGTTGAAATGTTAATTATGGGAATTGGCCTAATTACATTGTTTAATTAATTGGGATAATTAATTGGTGAGAAATGAGGGAATGAAATGTTGATTGAATATCCATTTGTGCATTTATTTTCTGTTTTAGAAATAACTGCTTTGGGCTATCGGTGGAGGATCGTCGTGATTGTTGTAGACAATGTATGTTGATTAGGCAAACTGAAACTAATCAATGGAATGTGTTATGGAACTTGACAGTTGCTAGAATACATTAATTGTTTGTATTGTGTGATTGTATATAGGACCAATGTGTTTATATACGTTATGTGTAGAGGAGGAGATAGGGGATGTACTCCGCGGTTTAGGGGAAGATAGGGGATGTACCTCTAAACCGGATAAGTATTGGGAGAAGATAGGGGATGAACTCCGTAGACACAGCTCATATGCTTGTCTAGAGAAGTGAAGATAGAGCTCATATGCTTATCTTTGTGAAGTGTGGATACAGTTTATATGCTTATCTGTGAATGTGCGATATTGTTGTTATACATATCTGTTGAGAATGTGGATATAGCTTTTATGCTTATCTGAATGTGAGATATAGGGCTCGTTTGGTTTGATTTTCTGAAAAAAATTTGGGAAATTTTCTCTACAAATAAGTTTTCAAAAATAACCAAACCAAACAAATTTTCCCAAAAAAATTTCCCAAAACTTGTAAACCAAACAAGTTTTCCAAACAAATCTCTCTCTCACACACATCAAATCAATCACTTTTTTCAAAACTCTATCTCAAAATAATTTTCCAAAACATCTTTTAAAAAAAACCAAACCAAACATGTTTTCGTATTTTTTATCTCTAAAACACATCTCTCAAACACAAACCAAACATACCCAAAACGTTTCGTATATATATGATAATTCATAAGTTTCATGTGATTTTCAAGTACTTTGGCGTGACAAATTTCATCTTTTCATGTGTTGAAATGGTGAGAATTGGTGTTGCAACAAGTTGGAATTTGTAGCAACAAGAAGCAAAATCGCCTGCGAAAATCCGCACGTGCAATACCTTACCACAACACGTGCGGCACAAGGCCTGCACATGTGGTCCAATGCACAGAAGGGGCTGCTTAAATCCGCATGTGCGGCCCAAAGTGGGGTGGTCCATTTCACTCCCTTTTTGCCCCTTGACACACCGAGCCTCAATTCAAGCACTTGTAACTTGAATTAAACTCAGAAAAGGTTTGGAATATCACTTTAAGACCTAGAACTAAGGGAATAGAGGTCAGGTTAGAAAGGAACACTTGAATTAGCCTCAAATAACTTAGCATTGTCTTGTCTTGCATAGTGTGGACATGTTCCATGCACCCACCCTCAATAACCTCTCGTTTTGGGGAGGTGTGTCCAAAGTACTCCCGTCTCTTTCACAAAGTGCAATGTAAATCAATGAATGACTAGATTTGGCAATGCCGGGAAATTCCACTTATCCACAGAATGTCATATAAAGTTCAATCCACTTAGACTTGGAGTCCTCACTTAATTTTTTGGAGAAACTAGGAAACCCCAACTCCGAATAAATGTAGGAAATAAACCTCATTAGAAGGAATTAATAGAGGTCAATCAATGGATTAGGTGAAATGGGTGCTCACATTAATAACCTCCTTTCATGCCTAAACTCCCGAACCAAGATTTCTAGTTGTGACAGATCAGTGGCCTAAATAAACATAGTTAGGGCTTCCTAATTACGTGGTGACTCCAAGTTCAGCGAATCAACCATTATTTGGCAATTTGTAGGCAAAATCAAATTGTGAAAATACTATGGTATATTGCTAAATTTATACCTCAATGATTCACATACATTAAAGGGTCAAATCCAATGTGTGGTTGCGCCGAAAAGCATGGTATCCACAAGGCGTTGGATAGTTGTGTATATTATAGGGTGAAGCAAAGGCTAGTGCAATTTCTTATTGCCCTTCGAGATCAGTTTGAGCTTCTTCTTGGTGCTATTTTTCATTGTTCGCCTTTGCCTTCAGTTGATGGAACAATTCGAGAATTGATAGTCAAGGAAACTAATTTCAAAGTTGTTGATAGTATCTCCTTCTCAAACAGTATTTGCTACTACTCCTGCTCAACCTCCATTATTACCTACTAACCTTCACTTATTCAAGTCACAGGAAACTCAAGCCCCATGTTGCTCAAGACGAGTGCAATTTTTCTCATTAGAAGGGCCACTGGAAGCATGTGTGCTCTAGATTTGCACACCAAAATGCACATCAGACAAGGCTAGCTCTTTCTAGTTTTTGTCATGAATCACGATCACCTTTTCAGTCTACTTGTGCTGCCAACCGTTCTCATCCTCCAGCAACTTTTGCCACACCCACATGCGACAACATTTCACCTTCCACAGCACAGTCTATGCTTGAGCAATTAACTTACATTCAGTCCATGCTTTTGCATCGTCTTATGTGTCCCATGCTACCTTGATTATTACACCTTCATTTTTACATGGTCTCATACCACAAGTACCTCTAATACCAGTTAAATATGTGATTATGTATCTTCCCATCATATGACACCAGATATTTCTATTCTAAGTCATTGTTATTCTCCCGCTTCTCCTATAACTATTTGTAGCAAATGGTTCTCCTATGGATGTTATGTCTATTGGTTCTGTGAATGCATCTACTTCTTCCTCTTTGTCTATTCCTCAATTTTATTTTTTTATTTTTTTTGGCATACCTCAGTTGTCTTTCTTTTTGTTATCTATTGGCCAACTTTCTGATTCCAACTTTGATGTTGTCTTCTCTTATCGTAGTTGTATTGTTCAGGATCGAACATCCAAGAAGAAAATTGGGATCGTATGTATGATTGGTGACCTATATCTCCTAGAGGGCTTGCATATTCCCGTAAAGTCTTATTCTTTTTTCTTTTTTTTTTTCCTTTTTTCTTTCTTTTTTTTTTTTTCAAAATTGTAGGAGTATTGATAAAGCAAATGAGAAAACAAGCTAATGCAAGCAGCTGTCCTTCATTAGAGAAGGAAAAAGCCACAGAGGAGGAGAGGCTTCCCACTAATCTCTTAGTCATCACTAATTTGTCATACAAATTATCACCACCGTTGTCTTAATTAGATCAAGATAGGCTCACAGTTTCTGAATAGGTGATTGGAGGATCTTTACGGCAGGGGGGAATGAAAGATCACTAATCTCTTAGTCATCAAGACAGCAAAAAAGTTAGCAAACAGAACTTCAAAGACAAAAACACAAAAAGAGGAACAAAATTAGAAACCAGAACTCCTAACATTTCTTCAGTGAAAAATGAGCCTGAAACAAGGATATATGGGTAATATCCCCACACCAACAATTTTTCCAGAAAATGACTCTTTCTCCATCTCAACAACATATATCATACGCTACAAATAACAAAAATAACAATTGTGCGATTGAAATCTCATTATTATTGTTTAAACATCCTAGTCAACTTTGACAATAATCAAAAATTATGACAAAACACTAGGAATTCTTCCTCGGTCCATTTTACAAGAGAAATGCTTAGTGTCCCAACTATCTACACGTGTAGAATATTGTGTAGAATATTAGGGATCCCTAGCATTGTTGATTTCAAAATGTAAGTACCAACAATGATGCAGAAAATGGTGTGTCACCTTCAATTGTATCATGGCAGTGCAGCAAAACATGAGCATCTCTCTTCCTCCATTTGAAAAAGGATGGATCTTCCCACACCTTGTAACCATTATTTGAGGGAAGAACAAGTTGACTGAATAAAGAGGTCATCACTAAATTGAAAGCTACAACTGCATCACAATGAACCTATAGTTTAGCCCCCCAAATGAGATTCATTCAAAACAAACAAAACAAAAACAAAAATAAAAACTTCCAAATTTTATACAAATTTTATTGTGCATGTAACATAAGAATGCACGCATTGACACTTTGTAAAACCAGAAGTAATCAATAAAACAGAAGATGAAAGAGGGAGAAACTAATCAAAAGATAGTTCCAAGTTAAAACGAAAAGGTAAAGATTTTATGAAAACAGCATCCAAGAAAACTACTGTGACATTTACATATCAAGAAAACAGAATTCATCTTTATACCTTTCCTTAGGTGGTAACCCCATAGCTCTTAACTCCTCAACCATGTTTTGAAGAAAGTTTGTGTGCATGTTTGACCCATTGGAGAAAAGGTCAACTGCTCTTATAAACTAAAAAACAAAGATTCGATTCAACTAATTGAATTTCAATTATTTTATATTTTTTTTAATCTAAATTTTTTTAAATTGTAAAGTAATAGAACTAATTTTTTTATCCTTTTTAGTTCTTGTAATGAGTTTTCATGTCTTGATATCGTTTTGTTTAAACCTTTTTTTTTTTTTTTTTTTTTTGTAGATAATGATATATGAAGGGCCCAACTTAAAAAATTCACCTTAGGCTGGCCCTGATGCCTTTGAATGGGCTCTCAGTTATGCATATTTTTTCCCTAGTAATTGGTGTATCAAATGGTTAACAACTTAATAGAAATATGACAAATTTTGTTGGGATTTGCATTTGCTCATCTTAATTTGTTTGGCAGTTTATTCATATTATGTTGTGAGGAATTGAGCTTTTTCCCTTATTTTCCTTTTTCCGATGGTTTTATCTTTTGAGAAAAAATGTTACATTGGACCCTTTTTTTAATTATTTATTTACTATATATATTTATGCAAATTTTCATAAATTATAGAGTTATAGCTATCATTTCTAAATGTATTTATTTACTCTAAATGGGATTGAAGTTTCTAATAATATTTTATATTGTGTCTCTAATTACTTATAATATGTTGGATTATATGTAAGTAATTAGAATTCTATTTTCCTGGTGAATAATTCAAAATTCTTCTTGGCTTGGTGCCTTTAGGCACAGGTCATTCGCTAGTTACTAGATCAAATATATAAAAACATAACCAAAATATACAGAAAAATTCTGTATTGACACCATTATTCCATAGACAAATATTAGTTTGGCAACTCAATTTTTTATCCTAAAACTCAAAATGTCACTTAAAAAAAAAAAACGCATTCTATACCAAAAGGTCAAAGATTTTTTTCTTTCTACGTTTTACACATTTTTTCGTAAAAAATCAAAAAGTGATCACAAACATATTAATTTTTTTATCTCATATGTTAGTCAAAAATCAGAAGTTACTAAAATAGCATGTTACCAAACCAGGTTAAACCAAACCAAATTGAGATACTATATATGCGGAATGATCAAAACGGTTAAGGCTATATGCAAAGTTACTGAATTTTCTGAAGGAGATCAACCCAAATTGAGTTGGCAGCCACATGGAAGGGTGGCCAACCCACATGGTAAAAGGAAGGCAAAAAAGGTTGGCATGAGTTGGCAAGCCATGAGGCTTGAGTTGGCAGCCATGAGGCTTGCCATGCGCCAGCAACAAAGGAGAAAGCATGGAGTTGGCCATGTGAAGTCTTCACATGGTGGGACAAAGCTTTCAACTGGACAGCAGCTCAAAGGAGAATATTAGGCTGGCAGCCAACACACCCATGAGGCCTCCTCCACCTTCTGTTTTGGTGTATAAAATGGAATGGTGATGGTGAGTTGAATACACGGCAAACATAGCAAGCAAGAGAGAAACACACTGCTGAAAGAGAGGCACAAAACAGACAGAGCTAGTGAGAGCTATATTCTGTTTGTGTATCAGAGAGTGTGAGAGAGTGTGTTATATAGAGAGACAGTGAGCTGAGAGTGTGTAATCTCCTCCATTTGTTAATATATAACAACATCGCTCCCGTGGACGTAGGCCGGTTTGCCGAACCACGTTAATATAACAACATCGCTCCCGTGGACATAGGGCTATGTGTTGCGAATCTTGGGCACACCAGGGGACACTCACAAGCAAAAAACACAAGACTTTTAACGTGGTTCGGCAAACCGGCCTACGTCCACGGGAGCGATGTTGTTATATATCAACAAATGGAGGAGATTACACACTCTCAACTCACTGTCTCTCTATATAACACACTCTCTCAATGAAGGGCCCAACTTAAAAAATTCACCTTAGGCTGGCCCTGATGCCTTTGAATGGGCTCTCAGTTATGCATATTTTTTCCCTAGTAATTGGTGTATCAAATGGTTAACAACTTAATAGAAATATGACAAATTTTGTTGGGATTTGCATTTGCTCATCTTAATTTGTTTGGCAGTTTATTCATATTATGTTGTGAGGAATTGAGCTTTTTCCCTTATTTTCCTTTTTCCGATGGTTTTATCTTTTGAGAAAAAATGTTACATTGGACCCTTTTTTTAATTATTTATTTACTATATATATTTATGCAAATTTTCATAAATTATAGAGTTATAGCTATCATTTCTAAATGTATTTATTTACTCTAAATGGGATTGAAGTTTCTAATAATATTTTATATTGTGTCTCTAATTACTTATAATATGTTGGATTATATGTAAGTAATTAGAATTCTATTTTCCTGGTGAATAATTCAAAATTCTTCTTGGCTTGGTGCCTTTAGGCACAGGTCATTCACTAGTTACTAGATCAAATATATAAAAACATAACCAAAATATACAGAAAAATTCTGTATTGAAACCATTATTCCATAGACAAATATTAGTTTGGCAACTCAATTTTTTACCCTAAAACTCAAAATGTCACTAAAAAAAAAACAAAAAGCATTCTATACCAAAAGGTCAAACATTTTTTTTCTTTCTACATTTTACACATCTTTTCGTAAAAAATCAAAAAGTGATCACAAACATATTAATTTTTTTATCTCATATTTTAGTCAAAAATCAAAAGTTACTAAAATAGCATGTTACCAAAGGAGGTTAAACCAAACCAAATTGAGATACTATATATGCGGAATGATCAAAACGGTTGACGCTATATGCAAAGTTACTGAATTTTCCGTAAGTTCCAAAAGTCAATTCTAACAACCTCAAAGTTAATGAAGAGTTACCTACTGTTCGTACGAATTTGTAAAAAGAAACCAATTGTAATATAATTGTGGTGTTCCTCAAGAATTGATATCAATAGAAAATAAGAATACAGATACAACAAAACACAACGTATCAAATTACAAACAAAAAAAATTATGGTTCATTGTATTATAATTTTAAAAAACAAAAAATCTGTAAAAAACAATATAGTACAAATTAAACACCAGAACACGAAAATCAGGGCTCAATTGAAAAGCCTCAAATTAAAAAATAAAACCCTAATATTTGCAAAACGAACCTGAATCTGGACGGTGGGAGGGAGAGGTGCAAGAGCTCTGGCGTCAGAGAGAGGTGACACAACTGTTGGTCTTCATTCGTTGCTGGTCGCAATGGCCGCCGCCGCCGCAGCTCGTCTTCTCTCTTCTTCGTCGCCGGTGGTTTTTCTTCTCTCTCGTCTACTTGCTCTCTCTCTCTCTCTGTTCGCTGTTGGTCTTTGTTCTATCTCCCTTCAGTTGTCTCTTTTGGCATGGTTTGGGAAGAGGGTTTGGGAATTTTTTTTTTAAATAGTCAAAAATAAATAAATAAATAAATAAAATATATTTTTTAATTTAATAAGACAAAATATCACATCTAATTTGTTATTATTAAGTTCTTTCTCTCAAAAAAAATCAAAAATATCAAAAATTCTTTCCAAATCAGACTTTTTAGTCCTAAATTAAACCAGATAAAAAAAATTTAAAAATCAAAAAGTCAATCCACCTCTCAAACCATGCCTTTACTTCTTTTATTTTGGCAAGTGTTTGGAGATTAAAATAAAATAAAAAAAAATTATTGGATATTTCAGAATATTAGGTGGTTATATCTTATCACTAATTATTATTTATTATGTTATTTATATTTTTTAATTATTTAGCATAAGGAAAATGAGTTGGACCCCTCAATAAGGTACCCCTTTGATTCCTCTCTTTTTGATTGGTCAATTTTTTTTTTTCTTCTCCTTCAATCATCACCTGTCACGTGTGTAGAACGATGAGAGTAGTGATTGGAGAGGTCTCAATCACTTCCCTTAACATAAATAATTAATATCTTAATTTTTTCACTAAGGTCATGTTTGATTCACAATATTAATAGTGAGGTATTAATAATCCTATCAAATTAATGTAGTATTAACTATCTCACCCCTACCCCATTACTAATAATCCTACAAATTTGTTGGATCCATTGGATTAATAGTCCTAAACCAAAATGTCAAAACAAACATAGGATGATTGGGTCCACGGATTAATAATCCTAATCCCATGCTTTAATCCTTCCAATCAAACATGCCCTAAGGCCATGTTTGTTTGGGTGGACATGAGCTTGGGATTGGACTAATAGTCCAATAAAATTATTAATCCGATGTTTGGTTAAACAATTGATGTAGGGACTAATTATTTTAAACTTGACTATTAGTTAAGATAGGATATATAATCCAACGAATTCGTAGTCCTAGGACTATTAGTCATGGGAATGTTAATCCAGTCCGCCCAAACAAACATAGCCTAATGTCATGTTTGATTCAAAAGACTAATAGTGAAGTATTAATAATCCTATTAAATTAGTGTAGGATTCACTATCCAATTGGATTAATATCCATTGGATTAATAATCCCACCCCTACCCCATTACTAATAATCCTACAAATTTGTTGGATTAATTATCCATTGGATTAATAATCCTAAACCAAAATGTTAAAACAAACATGAGATAATTGGGCCTACGAATTAATAATCCTAATCCCATGCTCTAATCCACCCAATCAAACATGCTGTAATAGTACTGTCATGAGCATGGCGGGATTATACTCTCAGTATTACCGAACATATTCTCATATTACCGAATACCGAATAATCATATCCAGTGGACTTCTGCTTTCGAAAATCTAGTGGTGGTGCGTGCGTTTTGTGCGCTCGTTGCAGTGATATTTTTTTATATATTTGTTATCTATTAAAATTAAATATTTTATAAAGTTTTTAATATTTTTATCTGTTCTTAAAAAAAAATATTTTTAAAAGAGTTTGTATTTTTATGTACAGTACCGCTATATACTGAATTTGTTCTATGTTTCTTTTCGGTAACGAAGGTGTGAATGAGTTTCTTCTCAATAAGAGTTTCTTGTTTTGAATACTTTTACTAGGAAGAAATTTATTTAGGCAAATTCAAACAGAATAAATTCAGTGAATGAATCATTAATCTTTTATGTATATACATGTTATTGGAAGTAAGAAAAGTAAGATATTGATTGTTAATAGAGAAAATTAATCTAAGATCGCTCTTCCATTTTTAGTAATGAAATAGATCCACAATATTATTTTATGATGTTTAAGGTTCCTCAATCTCACACCCATTTATCACAGACAAATTTGACTATCTCAAATCAAACTTCATTTCTTTCTCTACTTCGATACTATTTAAAGCCTAGCTCTCACCAATCTTCTCCTTCTCTCTCTACAAAAATGACAAACAACGGTGGATATCGCCGCCGTCGACAGCTTAATGGCGAAGAAGAAGACAATGACGACGATGTTTATGGCTATGGCGACACTGTTAGTTTTGCTGATGATCTCTACCTTCCATGTCGATTCAGTTTTGGGAGGGCGAGATAGGAGGTTACGTTGTCCATACAAATAATAATGATCGCCATAGGAGTTCTTCAAGATCAAGCTATCATACAATACTGTCTATAGTCACCAATCCTATCGCAGTACTAGTACTGGTACACCACGAACATCTCATCAGAAACTCAATTCATCATAATTAATATCGATTGATTCTAAATCCGAACGAAGAGCAATTATGATTGTGTTCTTTACTGTTTTTTTTATTGTTGTCATGATGTTTGTCTTCGAGTGCTCGCAGTCACAGCAAAGCAAGGATTCTGTGCTCATGGTTTAGGTTCTTCATTAATTGATTTCTCTTTGCACAAAACCACATTTTAATTTATATATATATATATATATATTGGTTGTTGTTGTTATTTATTCACTCATATTTGTGATGAAGCTCTAGTTTGGCCAGTGAAAATCATTGTGCTAAAATTTTTCTAGTTTGGTTTAAACAATTTTCTCTGATTTAAAATTGAGAACAAACATATTAAAAAAAAAATTGTGAATAAAGCTAGAAATTCTCTAGGTTGATCCAAAGAAATTCTCTGGCTTTGAACTGAAATTTCTCTGGAGAGGTAATGTTGTGGAAAGGCAGAGAAATTTCTCTAGAGAGTGGGAAGTATATGAGAAGTATATGGAAGGCAGAGAAATTTTTCTCTGGAGAGTCCATGAAAGGCCAGGGAGAAATTTCTCTAGAGAGGTCATTTTGTTGGAAGGTTGGTGAAGTCAGAGAAATTTTGGAGTGTTGAGTCTAAAATTTATCTGGAGATGTAATTTTGTGAAAAAGCAGAGAAATTTCTTTGGGAGAGTGGGAAGTATATGGAAGGCAGAGAAATTTGAAAAATGGGAGGGCAGAGAAATTTACAGTGGGAAGTTTAGGAAAGGTCAAAGAAATTTTCAAAATTTTTTTGGAAAGTCCAGAGAAATTTTTCCCAGAATTTCTCTAGACCAATTTTCTCTGTGACGTGAATTTTCTCTGAATCAACTTAAGGGACCTTAGACATTATTAAAATATTGAATGTCCTTTATACTATAAAATCTTAATACTAGGAACCTTAAAAAAAAATTCCCTTGTTAATAACGGATAATTTACTGAGAAAATATTACTACACTTTTATTGTATTTTTTTGTTATGAAATTCTTAATCATCATATAAACATCCCAGCAATTTATTCAGCTAGTAGCACCAAATTTGAAATTACACATTAACAAACTAAAAATAAATTAGACTAAACAAGCCTATATTATAACCATTAAAGGGGGGAAAAAAAAGTATAAAATGGAGAATATTGGACAGAAACAGATTGAGTATCAACACTTTGTTTGGTTTTGATTTTTAGAAAATTTTACTTTTTTATTTTTCATATTTTAATATTTTTAATGAATTTTTTTAATATTTTAAGCAATTTTTTTATTTTTAAACACACCTAACCTAAATACACTTAAAAGGTATAATATTTGTGGAAAAAAAATTAAAAAGTACACTAAATACCAAAAAAATACAAAATATATATATATGAAAATTTAGTAAATTTTTTGTATTTTTATAATTTTTTAAAATATTTTTAACAAATAATTTATTATTTAGATACATCTAAGTAACGTGAATATAAAAAGTAAAAAAATTGCGTAAAATTTAAAAAACATTCACTAAAAACAAAAAAATAAGAAAAACAAAAAATTCAATTTTAGAAAATTAAATTCAGAGAACTGAAACTAAATGAATAATTTTTTAATCTAAAACGTGAAAATATGTTGTGAGCACGGGAACGACCACAATAAAACTGGACAGTTGTTTGTCGGTTGCTGAGGGAATATTGTGGGAAGACAATGATTTGCGTCTAGCCCATACTGATCCAGGATGATACGTGGTACACCGAATAAGTCGACCACATGACCCGGAGTGGGCAGTACTTTAAACCTGGACTAGCCAGAGGCATCTGGGAAAGACAATGAAGCTGAAAGGCAGAAGGGCAAACTGTTAGAGGAGGAAGCTGTATTGAAGCAGCCAAAAAAGATTCAAGCAGACATCTCCATCTGGGGACTGCTCATGGCCTCGCGGGTGCATAGACAAGCTGTTCTATCAGCCATGGATAAGGCTAAGCTTTCTATTGATACAACCCCCGAACAGTTGGTGGGACTGGTGTTCCCGGGTGGCGCTTCACCAACTTTGACTTTCACAGACAAAGAATTACCGCCTGAGGGCTCCGAGCACAACAAACCGTTATACATCTCTGTGGAGTGTAAGGATAAGTGGATACCAGTGGTTTTAGTTGATACGGGATCTGCCATAAATGTGTGTCTGTCGCGTACGGCATACGTTATCGGGTTGAAGCCCGTAGATTTCGTACCAACAGCCTAGGTAATTCGGGCTTATGATAATACCAGCCGGGAGGTGATGGGGATAGTGCGGATCAGAACTCGATGAAAACATTCAAATGAGTTTGATTGCTGCCAATGGAAAGCTCACAAGTTGAAATAGAGGTAGCCAATGCCATAAAAGTTGTCCACATCTTCAACAGGTATTTGGCCAAAATAAATAAATTAAAAACTACTATAAAAACAAAAAAAAAAAATATTAACACATCCTATTGGATTAAACCTTACAAGTCAACTTTGCTTCCATTTAAGAACAAAAATTTGTATTAAAGTTAGGATATTGTCAAGTTTATATGGAAGAGAGGTGTTGACTTTTTGAGGCATGGACCATTTCTATTCTACTCTCTTCATAGACGTGTAGAGCCTTTCTTATGCAAGTAACTTGTTACCAACCGAGAACAACTAAAAAAAGAAGCAATGGCAGAAGCAATTCTCTATGGCACTACAGCAAGATTCTTAGGAGGCTTGGGATCCATAGCCTTTCAAGAGATTGCATCAGCTTGGAATATGAAGAAGGACC